CCGCTTATTCTTTATATATCATTACAATATTTTTTGTGTTTGAATGAACAGGAGTAACTTGTATATGTTGATTGATTAATTGTCTCCAATAATCTCTGTTTCTGGTGTCTCCTCTCCAGTTTTTAATACCAAAAGTCTCGACATCTTTCAGTATTCTGGTCTCCCAATGTTTTTGCATGCCAACATTGCGAGGACGTTTGCTTCCAGAAAAATATGAAAACATGACTTTTTTTTATTAATAATATCTGATTGTTGTCATATTCCCTTCTGTTTACAAGACCAAACCATCTTAAACGATTTTTTCTCATAATGTCTTGAATTGCCGGCTGACCAGATAATTTTAAAATTGTAAGATTTGATACACGATCATTTAGGTTTAAACCAAGTATCGTTCTTAAACATTTCATGTAAAAACTATTAATTCGACTTTCTTGAGCCACTGTCAAGGTCCATACTTCACTACCATATAGAAGAATAAAAAGTATGCAAGCTCGCAAAATACGTAATTTGGCATTGATAGACATTGTTTTTCTATACCAAATAACATTTCTTAACATATTAACGGCTGTTGTTGCTTTTGTTAATCTAGATTCTATAATAATTGCACATTGAGAAAAAGTTCGCATTGCAAATAGACGCATGAATCACAATTGAGTTTAGCGTTTTGAAATAAAGCATGAGTGGTCATGCTTGAATTTCATTCTTGCAGATACTCATATCCGACATTATTTCATATTCACGCAACACATATTATTTACATACGAATATTGAAGTATTTGTTGCATGTATATGCATGACGATCAGAATTTTCTTAATTCAGCATGCCAATACAAAACAGCTACATTTTCGAAAGCTTTTTCTAAAATAGCTCTGCAATGATATGCAAACTCTTACTATTTTGTATAGTGTGCACGATACTGCATAAAAAAATTTAATTTTCAGTCCAACGTATGATTATTTATTCTACATTAACAATCAACTTACTCTGAGATGTGGGTGTTCATTTTCTCTTCAGCGACACCTACATCCACAATCACACCCACACCGCACACCCACACCCGCACCCACAATCACACCCACACCGCACACCCACACCCGCACCCACACCCGCACCCACACCCACATCCACACCCACACCTACACCCACACCTCTCAGCCTATAATAATCTGTAACTCTTCAAAAGCTATTTCGGACTTCTTAATGGAACTGAGATCTTGCGGAACAACTGCCTGACGAGCAACTGTCGCTGGGGAGGAAGTGTCGCCGAAGCATTTATCATGAAATCAGAAGAATCATAAATTAATTCATTGTTGTATTTTAGCTACAGTGATCTCGGCGCGTCATGTATAAAAGAAACAATTTCTGATGTGAGGAAGTTGAATATAACGTTGCTGCAATCTCGCTGACACTTCCTCACACGAAATCGTCACACGGTTTGATTATTCAATAATTGCTGATGGATCGATTTCAGTCGCCTTCGATCGATTCGTAGACTGGTCGATAATCTATTCTGTATATATTTATTTCCTCTACTTCGATATTTTCTTTGCTGTAGCTGTGATGATTGATCGCTACAGTAGCTTACTGTTTTCACTGGTGACAAGACGTTCTATAGATTAAATAGGGGAAGACTCATATGCAAATATTCGGAAAAGTTCGAAAACTAATTAATGAAGGTTCTAAAAAATAACTACGTTAAGCAAAAAGTGCAAAAGCTGTCTTATTGTCCGGACCACGTCCGATTGCTAGTTGTCATAGGTGTAGCCATAATTTGTGTCAGATTCACACTCGACACGTTCGATATCTTCTTCCACTTCTTGAATCTCTGCATAATTACCTTCATCTTCTTCCAAGCTCTTATTAGTTGCGCTCTCACCCGAGTCGTTATTCGTCTGTGTATAATTGATGGGATCCTCAGTGCACCACGTGTCTTGCCCCATACTATCAACATTCAGTCTCTTCACTGTCCATGCAAGATTGCATAATTTTGGATTTTGCATGTAGTCATAAGGTATATAGCAATAGCCTTTATCACCCTGAGAATAATTCTAATTATGCAGGAAAACTTGTGGATAACAGATATAATACTCACCCATTCTTCCCCCCATGAATTTCGCACGATAAATGCTTGCGATGAGTCACTGTAGCCGGCTGCAAGGACGGCATGTCTAAAACAGTAAGAACCACTAAATAAATTTTTGCTATATGTCACCTTTTATTATAAGCTAACAAGAAGTAATGAAAGTCTGCTAAGAAAAGGGCATAGAGGTGTGGACGCGGATGATGAGAAGGCTAACACTCACACCTACACCCTTAAGAGTGAATAAAGTTTTAGTTGACAAAAGTCTTGAAATATACGTCCTGTAATGATATTGGACAAGATCTTGTTGCAATCTTGGCAGCAGTCTTTTCTTATGTTCTTGAAAAGATTCTAAATACATTTGAGCAGATCCTTAGTAAGAATTCTGGAAAAATTCGGTGAAATCCCTTTTGTTTCTATCAAGATCTTGATCAAGATTGAGACTGAATCTTGAGGAGATCCTGTATTCTTGTTTTGGAAAAAGTCTGAGTAACTTTCAGAAGCATCCTGAACAAGATGCTGACAAAGATAAAATTCGAGAATATGTTAGAGACACAAAAGGCAAGGATTTGTAATAGAACCTTGATCGAATTGTGACTGAATCCTGACAAGCCCGGATCCCATCTAATATTTTCAGAGTTTCCTGATAAATGATTAGGATTGAAACTAGAGTATTCGAACAATGTGAATTATCTAAAGTGATTGCATCACCATTGACTGAAACAAGCTTTAGCAGAAAATTGGTGTTTTTTGTGTGTGTCCGATGAACGATCGACGTCTCGAATACACGCTTTTGCTATAAAAATGGTCGTGAAGGGTCGCTATAAGAATATGAAACTCTAAATAACATATTTACCTTCCGTGTTTTGTTCGAATGATTTCGTTCTGTTGTGGAATAGGAACAATACCTCTTGGTTTTGCTTCATCGAACGATTGATATACATTGATACTGATGAGAATTGGAAATCCTTGGGCGAGACAAGCCTTCATCTCGTGCAAATTAAGATCAACTTCGAATGCTTCAGTAATCTTGTGTTCTCCAGCAACATCATAACACATTTGATCAGGTTTGGCATTTACTTTTCTTATATCGTACGGCCATAAGCTTTCAAGGCAGACCCCTCGTTCTGACATGGTCTCGACTGCATAGGCAATGGCAGATCCATCATCGGACATCCATGTACTACCTCGAAGATTCTTCAATCGACTGTTGTAGTAGATGAAGAGACGACTGA